ACAGTGCCCCCAAATGTTTCTAAGTAAATTTCAACCCAAATGTGTTTAGAGTTGTGAATTGAACCTTTTATATAATACTTAAAACCAGCTACATCTAAAGACAGAACAAAGCACCTTCCTATCACCCAGTCTGCTCTCTTCCTCAATTATGTGACTTTGTCTGAGTAACTTCTACCATAATGCCACTACAGATGTGGAAAGAACACAAGATGCTGCCACACATTTCTTGCAGTGTTAAATACAATGTTTCATACTTGGCTAAGCAATTATTTCAGTAAATAGGAACAAGTAGTTTTTATCAACTAATTTTATAGCACTAAAAGAATCATATAAAGGAAAACTGCCTCTTCTAAGAATTCTTTAAAATCAATTTTCTTAGAGAAATGTCTTCTCTTACAGAGAAAATAAGGTCTTTGGACTACTAAGATTTTCAAATAGACTCATTTGTTCATGATTATTGATTACCGACTATATTCAAAGCACTTTGAGACTCAGTTCCCAATGTAGTTTGTGTGCATGTTGTGGGCAGAGGGTAAAAAGGAGAACAAAAATCTAAAGGAGTTCATTTTCCACAGAGGGAGGAAGGAAAAGCAGACTTCACAAAGGGGCTGAGGGTCTTGAGAGAGTCACCAAACTCCTCAGTTTCAGGTCTGGAAATTCCAACATTCAGAGGATACACAGAGGCTAAACGGAGAGCAGAGGAGATGCTGAGGAAGCAGTCAGCAAACTAGGAAAGAAAAAAAAAATGGGTGGAAGTTTCTACTTTAAAAAAGAGAATCAAATGTGCCAAGTTCCTGAAATAAGTTATATCTCAGCATGTTGTAAGAACTGTAATTAGCAAAGAGGAACATAATCATATATACACTCTATTAAAGCCAGACTCAGAGAGTTAAGGATCATTTTTTCTCTCATGTGTGGAAGCTAAGGAGAAAAAAAGGGAAAAAAGACAGATCAATAGGATAGTGAAAAAGAGTCAGAGGGAGGGAAGACGGGAGGGAAGGGGGGGTTGAGGAATAAAATTGATAAAATTACATTATGCAAATATGAGCACGTCATAAAAGGGGTGCGATATCACATATAATTATCATGCACCCATAAAAATTATTCTTAAAATGAATGAGGAGTACAGAGTGAAAATGGAGAAGGGCAAGACAAGAGGCATGGAAATGCTTAATTTCCTCAATAAACACTAAAGGCTTTATTTGAACTGCCTTTCATAAAACAGTGAATTTACAAAAAGGCAAAATAATTTAATATTACTTCTTAACAGGAATTCAGTACTTTCATTGTTGTTCAAATAATTCATCAACTGTAAGGGAAGGAGCTAATTTCTCAGATTCTGATTTATGATTAATAGTCTACTGTTTTGTGTGTGAGTGTGCACGCATGTGTGTGGCACATGAACATACACATGTGTACATGCAAACACATAGCTACATTTCTAAGAAATCAATATCTCAGGACTGGCGATATAGCTCAGCGGTAAAGTGCTTGCTTAGCATGCACAAGGCTCTGGGTTCTATCCCCAGCATTTCAGAGAGTTGGGGCGGGGGGAGGAAAAGATAAAAGTAAAAGAAAGAAAAAAATAACTATCTTATTGAGGGAAATTCTGTTAGCAATCTGTTTTGCACAGTCAACTTGAACATTTCCTGTGATACCAATGTACTAACAGATATGTGGGTCTGGAGTGCTGGAGAAAAGGGTGACAAAGTCATCAGCACATGAGTTTCAGGAGAAGTCATAGCCACAGACAAGGCCCTACATAGTGGGAAGTGAGAAGAGGCCCCAAGAGAAAACTCTGGAAAAGGTCAACATGGGAGGATCAGGTAGCAAAGGAGATGCCATTTTTTTAATTAATATTTTTAATGTAGCATTATCCTACTGAATCTTGAATACTTTTTTGATTTGTTTTGTTTTTCCAGTAGTGGAGATCAAACCCAAGGCTCTGTACATAAGAGGAAGTGCTCTATCACTGAGTCACACGGCCAGAACTTTGATCATTCTAAGATAATCCAATCTGTTTTGGAAATAATTATTTTGCCTAAAATATTATTTAAAAGACCCATCCCATACATCACAGATGAGTCTGGGGTACAGACTCATTGAAAATCAATATTTACAGGCATAATTTGTATTTTGGGCTTTTGATTAAGCCAGTAAAGTACATACAGCAAATATATAGAAAGGAATGACAAGGCTGGGGCTGGGGCTCGTGGCAGGGTGTTTGCCTGGCACGTAGTGAGGCACTGGATTCAATCCTCACCACAACATAAAATACAATGAAGGCATGTTGTCCAACGACAACTATAAAAAAAATAAATAATAATAATAATTATTATTTAAAAGAACACTGACAAGGCCATCACAACTTAAACAAGCAGAAAAACCCAGTTAAAAAATGAATTCAATATAATTGATTTAATTTTAAAAGGACTTAGGACAGACTAATAGCTAGCCAATGTGACATTTATTATAAGAAGTCAATAAGCCACATGGAGCCTCTTCTTGCCTAAAATTATCAGAATACATAAAAACTACCAGCCATAACACATAAGAAAAACAAAAGGTTATTTGTAAATGCCAATACAATATCAGTAACATAAAATCTAGTCTCAATAATTTCAGTAAATTCAGTAGGTCTAATAGTCAATAAAGCAAAAAACATTTATGCTTTCTAAAAGTCACTAGTAAAATTCTATACCAAAGAAGCCATTTGATAGAATAAAAAGGTGGTGGGGTGGAAAATCTTCTGAAACTTGAACGCTTGGTCCCAGATTTATGAACTATGTTGTAGCCCTGAGAGCTAGAAGAGGCTAAAAATAAACAATCTTAAAGGACTTAAAGAGAATTCACAGATGACTGACAAACAATGGGATCTTGCAGAACTTTGGGAGATCTGCCTTATCTTGCTCAATTCCCTTGTCACCCATTATTTGTTCCATGATCTCACTCCAGAAGAAAACCAGACCTTAAACTAACATTTGGCTGTTGTCAGTGTCAAAGGCAAAATGCTTGCCTGGAGGAAGCACTGATGTGGATCAGCTCTGCACTTAGATTGGTGTTAGAGAGAGAGAGAGAACAATAATAAAACTATAGCTGAGCCACTGACTAAAGACTTGATGGTTTTTTCTAGGCATCTGTTTGAAATAGGTTGCAAGAGCCATGAGGATTTAACTGGAATTTTTTTATGTGTATTTTTGTTTTGTTTTTGCAATGCTGGGTAGTGAAAACAGGGTCCTGCACATGCTAGACAAGTGCTCTACCACCAAGCTATACCCTCAAGACCTTAAAGTTGATTTTAATGGATTGGGAGGATAAAAGTTTTAAAACCAAGATCTAGGGAAAAAAATTTTTTTGGCAAATATAAGCATTAGGCCAGCATAAACTTCACACTTGAAAGCATCAGTGTTTATTTGCATATTTTCTCTCAGCCTTTCTCAGAAAATAGGATCCCAGGGAATACAGGATTCAGCCCCCAAAGAGCAGACAAACAAGGTCTACTTGAATTCATCTCAAAATTGTCATTTCATTTCATCAGAAAATTAAACTAAAGGAGATAATTCCATTTTTAGGGTTTCTTCTTTACCTTGTAAATTTCTGATGTCTTAAAGTCTTCATGAAAGGAAATCAAAGTGACTGAAGTGATTTGGTAATCTTCATCATCAATGTGTCTTAGAGCTTATTACCAACATCTGTTCTCCCTTATTGAATATAGTGACCCTATCTTACTAATCCTCAAGTAAAATGGAGCTAATAATACAATCTACTTAGTGAGGCTGTTGTGAGGTTTAAAAGACACATAAAGCCCCCAGCAGAGTGCCTGGTATGAGATAAAGAACTCAAAAACAGTGGTCAGGATTATTGTCTCATTTTATCCCTTACTGCAATCCAGTAAGGAGGAATTTTACCATTTCAAGGGTGAGAACACTGAGGCCTAGTGGGGTTGACTCAGCCAACAGGGCTGTTACACCACCACACTGCTCACCAGCACACCACGCTTTGGTACAGCCACGTGGGGCAATGGCTAGTGTCCCTCAACCTATAGAGTCAGTGATGGAATTTGATCTGGGCTTTCCCTCTACCACCTGTGAAACACTGAATAAGATAATAAGTGCTCTGGATCTGTTTCCTCACTTTAAGGACCTACCTCAGAGAGTGATTCTGAATATTAAATACATAATAAAGAGCTCAAGAAGAACATACATTCAGTAAGCATAAACTGGACTCTTGTCAAGTGTCAGCACTGTCGTAGGCTAGAGTTCCTACATTTATCTGTTTATGAGTCATATGGGGAACTTTTATAAATTCCAACTGCCCAGCCACAATGGAGACCAGTTAAATCACAATCTTTGAGGTTGGACACAGGCATCTGAAGCTTCCCACAATTCCAATGTGCAGACATACGTGAAAACCACTGTGTTTCAGGCACCTGACTCAAGTACATTCCCTGAAGGAGTCCTGGTCTACTAATTCTTAATTTCCTAAAAGTCTCACCTGCTTTGGATTTCAGCAGAAAAGCCATCACTGCTTTAACTCAGGTCCTCAGCACCCCTCTATCAATTGCTAACTTAACCACCGCATCATCAATAGTTCCTTCCTATAAGCCAAGCACTGACCATGTCACCCCTATGCTCAGAATCACTGAATTAACTGGCTCTGGCTACCAACTCCTCACCATCACCTTCAAAGCCCTCCATAAAAGGCACAGATAGTCCCTCTAGCCCTACTCCCCCTGCTCCTTTTGCCGGTGATAACCCAAACTCACTGTCCCTTGACAATATACCCATTTTCAATCCACAAGCAAGTTTATTCTTGAGGATACAGGAAAAAAATCTTCAAACTATTAGATAATTTATTGCCAGTTATAAAAGAAATTTTTCCCCAATTTAAAATTGTGTTCTCATAAGTTATGGTAACCCTGGATTTTTAAGGAGGCAAACACCTTTAATTTCACAATTTTATAATATCAGATTAAACACACAAAAAACAATTCCTTTTACCTTAACTTAAGAAGTGGCTGGGTCACCCACTTCTTTAAATTCCGTCTCCCAAATGAAGTTTTCGTATGGTCTAAAACCCAAAGTAAACTTCCTTTGGTCTTCATATCAGTCTAAGAAAGATCAGAAAACAACTTTTTTTAACTAGACAATTATACTTGTGCCAAATCATTAGTTGTTCATGTACCTTAATTATTCCATCTATTCCAATTTTAAATCTATACATGTCTGGCATAATGTGTGGCCATAAGAAATGTTCATTTGATGTTTGATGAATGAAAACATATATACATAGATATATACACACATTCGCACAAGATAAGTACTGATATTTATCACAGAAAAGAGAAAAATCTGGGTAGTTTTTGGTTAACTAAAAATTAGTTAATCAGAAGGCTCTATGGAAAGGGAAGCCAAAAGCACCTTCTGCTTCTACAATGACTCAAGTCCTGACAATAGAAAGGATCCTAAAGGGTATTGGGATTATAGGTGACTCCTGCCTCAGGAATTGGATTTCAGAACTGATTGGATTTGAATAGGGAAGATGTGGCAGGAAAAAAGAAAGCTTGGAATGCTGGAGCTGTGCCTGCAGGACTGGGACAGGAGCACTTCTACAGCCAAGGAATGTCCTTCCATTCCTGCTATTTGTTTCCTATCATGGGCATTATGCAGAGCTAATGAGACCTGCAAGGACTGATGTGCAAACCCTAGATAACTCAGTAACAATGATAAAATTATTAATGAGTAAAAAGTCTGGCTGGAGTACACTAGGACAGACTGCAAAAAGGAAGAAACTAGGTAATACTATGCAGACCCAAATATAAAGAGAATAAAAATCAGTATTTACTTATTGCAACAGTAATATGTATTTCTGGAGACTTTTAAAAACCATGATTCATATGATTCAGATTTTCTAATACTCAACCAAATGATTTGAAATTGCTACTTTGTTTGGAATTGGTTTTTATTTATCACTTTGTTATAACACTAATTTTACAATATAATGTCTCACCTTCCAGTGATAATTTAATAAGTGAAAATAATAATTTTAAAGTCTGCATTATCTTCATAATTCACCAACAAAGGCCAAATAAACAATGATGAAAGTTTGTGATGTGAGATATGATGCATCCTATAGTCAAGCTGAATATCACAATGACTTGTTCTATATGCTGATAATACTGAACAGTGCAAACAGTTCAACAAAGAGTCAAAGGCAGGTAGGAAAAAATATTTTCAACCAGATGCCACAAAAATCTACTTCATATTAATTTTCAAAGCTGATACCTTCCCAAAGAAATATTTATATAGAATGAGGATACAGAAATCAACTATCAGATGACAAGCAGAGCAGGCAGTTGAATACACTATTGCTCATTTCCATCTGCACTCCTAAAAACAGACTGCTACCTTACTCTAAATGTTTCTTTCAAAACCATTTTGAGTCAACTAGCCTCTGTGTGTACCTAACCTGGTTCTGTAGGATTTCCAGATTCCTTAATGTTGTTCCATTAATTGTCATAAATTCCATTTCCCTTGACAGCTGTTTGAAATTCCTGTGAGAGAATGAAATAAAATGAGCCAACATATAAAGTGCATAACGAAACTTTAAAAACTAATTTAGGAACCAAAAACAATACAGTAACACTATGATAAAAATTAGCATTTTTATAGAAAATCAAACCAAAAGGGGTAAAATGAAGTTTTACTGGGACAGTGTCTGCTCCAAGAGGATAGCTGATCTAACATCAAAAGCAAGGACATGAAAGGAAAGCAATGGTAACAAGATTTTGTTTTTGTTTTACATTTCCCCAGGAATAGAACTAAATATAGTCTTTTATCACTAGCAAAACATGTGGTGGTATCTTTAAGAAAAGCTATGCAATTAGCTAGAAAAATATGTCAAGATACTAAAACTGTTTCTTTATTCTTTAGCATGACCTCATCTTGATAAACACTTTAAAAGCCTGTACTCAATATCTGATAGGTACAACAAATGTTATTTACTCTATAATTAACAATACCCATTAAGGTTGCCAATGTTTATAAATATAAAACAGAAAGAATAGCAAAAGTTATTTCCTTAAGCTTTAAGAACTCTCGGTGCTCCTTATGTCCCCATAACTACCCAAAACTAAATTTAAAATTCAATAAATTTCAAATAGGCTTGAGAATGGAAATGCAACATAATAAATGTATGTACAATTCCAATTCATGTTAAGAAGTCTTAATCAATGTATTACAGCAATTCAGTTTCCTTTATCAGTCAATCAGACATTTCTGCCAATAGCACTTTACAGACTTGATGGCTTATTTTTAAGGAGTAGAAAAATAATGGCAGTTCATTTAACTAAATAAGGAAAGCATTAGTGTTACGTTGTCAAACCTAACAGCCTTTCTCACGCTGAAAATAAGACTAACGTAAGAATCCAGTTTCTGTAGCCAGTTATGGAATTGAGTCCTCATCTAGGAATCTATATAACCAAAAATCAAAGCTCAAAGAAACAGTATTCATAGACAGATCCCTTTTCTTCTAGATGACTCCCCCAACCAAGGCCCAAAGCCCTGGAAAAGAGAAACAACTTACTTCATGTTAGGAACGTTGCCTAGTTACTGAACACTGTTCTTTGGCAGTGTAATTTGTCTGCAACAGGTTTGATCTACTTTGCAAAGGATGATAACCTATTAATGATTTTCAAAGGGCAGCAACTCCAAAACTGATAGACGGCAGGTTTGTGTGGCTTTTCTCTCCCTCTTATAGGAGTCAATTTAATTTGTTTTGAATTTCATCAATTTATGTTGTATTTCTAACCTCCTTAATAAATCTAAGTTCCTTGGAGGCAAGGGTTATTTATTTATGTCTTACTCATCTTGTACAATCACCTAGCAGACTATAGATGCCCAGCAAATGTCTGCCACTTTCCTATGGGGAAGCCAGTTTTGGTTTGTTTGTTTTTTTTCCTTCCCTTTGAGCAGTAAACCCTCAAAAATGACTGAAATAAAATAAAAATATAATTTACAGGCAAAAACAATTAGGCAGTGAAATTGGGGAAGCTGAAAGATGTTCACACAAATCTCTAGCTACTAAAGATCTAAACTGGAAGGGCTGACAGCCTAGACTCTGAATTGGTATCTAACCAGATACTCTTGTATGCAGATATGAACCCTTTATCCATAGTTAATTCAACTAACTATGGCCTGGGGATAAGGAGTTAACATGTGAATGCCCTAATCCAACACAGACCTTAAGACGGATGCTTATTTGGTGTCCTAAGTCATTTGGGGCTGCTATTAACAAAACACCTTAGACTGAGTAATTTATAAATAAAAGAAATTTGTTGCTCACAGTTCTGGAGGCTGGAAGTCCATGACCAGGGAGTTGGCACAGTTAGTCTGGTGAGGGCCTATTCCTCACAGATGCCCACCTTATATGGTGATGGGGACAAACAGACTTGCTCAAACCTCTTTTATAAGTGTACTACATGACCTAATCAAATCCTAAAGGTTCTACTTTTCAATACTACTAAACTGGTGATTAGGCTTCAACCTAACGTGAATTTTGGGAGGGAAATGAACATTCAGAACTTAGCAGATAAAATGAAAGAAAAACTAACCCAGAAGCCTTAGCATCTCGGCTAGCTCTCTTTATCTCAGAGGTGTAAGAAATCTTTCTTCACTGGTGAAATAAATGGCATACAAGTGTGTAAACCATTAACTGAAACACCACTTAATTGCCCACACCTTCACATGGACAGAATTTGATAAACCAGAAAACCCAACAATCCATCCCTAGGGATGATGTTTTAGGTTTATGGTTCTGAAAACATCCTCCATTCCTTCCAAAATCTCAACTGACCCTAACTAAAAGTGAACTCCTGCTCCTATTATTATGTGTCACGTATGTCTGAAGTGAACTGCTGAAGCAAGGCACTGCCAGAATACCAAAAAGAGAATTTTCTGAACCAGAGAAGATTTTACATGCCTATTTTAGTGTTCACTTGCCAAAATGTCCCTATACATGTGACAAAATTTGGTTTGGACCAACATACTGCCTGGTATAAGAGAATGGGAAAGGAAGCTTAGAACCCTCATCTACAATTACTAAGACTTTCAATAGCTACAGTATCAAAAAGAAATCAGTAACTATGACCAAAGCAAATTGGCTTAGGTTAGCTCATAATCCTAGATCTTTACAAAGACAGTTTCTTTTCATTAACAATATTAATGTGTTATATCAATCAGGGTTTTATCTGGCTAGTTGGCCTTGGGTTGCTTTGTTGTCATTCATTTTCTTTTTGTCCTAACTGAACAAGTACTCACATTTCAAATTAGATGCAGTGAGAAACTATTTCCTTAAACTGACATCTGTGCTGATTTTAAGAAAAGAAATCAACCACTGGTTGATCTGAAATTAACTTAATACTGATTCCTGTGGCACAGTAATTATCAAGCAGCTACAAAGAATAACCATGCTTTTGGAGCTTCAATATATTTAATCGATAATATTTTGGACTTGGACTCTTCCCTCCAAATACAATAGAAATTTCCTTCTGTCAGTTCTGATTTCCATGAGAAATTCTATATATTTTTTAACTATGCGCCAACACTGTCAGGTATTCAACAGTATATGATCAATGACCTAAAATATTCAAGCAATTCTAAAATATTTATAATTGTGGAAGAAGCCAAATTTTAGGTGCCGTGAAATGAACCTTATAAATAATGCCTGAATGAAATCCACACTGTGTAAATCTGAAAAGAAATCTTATAAGTAACATGGGAAAATACTTCATTAGTATTTCAGACACCAAAAACACAAAGGATGCTTTTCTTTTTTTTAATATTTTTTTTTAGTTGTAGTTGGACACAATACCTTTATTTTGTTTATTTTTATGTGGTGCTAAGGACCAAACCCAGCGTCCCACATGCACTAGGCAAGTGCTCTACTGCTGAACCACAACCCCAACCCCAGATGCTTTTCTTTCTCAAATTGTACATGGGAGGAAAATGTCCTTGCCAAAAGCTTACCAGGGAAATTAAAGATTCTCTATCACTCTTAATCTACTTTTTTGGGAAAACATACAACAAACAAAACCTCCAAAAGCTAATCTTTCTAATTTTGACAAAGGTAGTAAAGGAGCAGACCTTATCTGAAAGATCCATCATTTAAATATCATATAAAAATAGAAATAAAGACCAAAAAAATCCACCTCGTCACATATGGAATCTACAGCAGAAGATAGTTCTCTATATGGTTTTCAGAGCTCATAAATTCATCATTTGTCTTTTGGGCAGTTGACAAGTTATACACTGCATTATATCACAAAACTACAGTCTTACAGTATTTGCACTTCTAATTAAATGAATGACACCATTCCTAAATGCTGACAATAAATACATTAGAGAGAGAAATAAGTAAGGTATATGTTCAGTCCCCAAGAACCCTGCCAGGCTCAATGATTTGCTGTGAAGATACACAACTCAACATAAAATTGTACTAATAGCTATGATTTATTAATGTGAAGAGCAAAAAGCAAATTCAGACAAGGGACAAAGTACATGAGGCAAAGTAAGGAGGCAAATGGGTACAAGCTTCCAAGAGTCCTGTACTGGTGGGGTCACACAAGATGCAGGGGGTGATATTCTTTTCCCACTGAATTATCTTAACACCCTTGCCAGTAATCAATTGACTACAAGTGCATAGCCTTATTTCTGGACTCACAATTCTCCTTTGTAGTAAGTTTTGAAATAAGAGTTTGGGTCCTCTACCTCTGTTCTTTCAAAACTGTTAGAATTATTCTGAGTACTTAAATTTTCATATGAATTTTGAGATGGGCTTGTCAATTTCTGCAAAGAAACCAGATGGAATTTCATAGACTGCAGTGAATTGATAAGATATAATATTCCCCAAATTTATCTAACAATATTAAGTCTTCTCACCCATGAACTTGGGATTCCTTTCCATTTATTTAGTTCTTCTTTAACTTCTTGCAACAATGTCTTATAGTTTTCAGAATATAGGTTTTGTACTTCTTTTATTAAATTCATCTTAATTCTTTTCTAGGCTATTGTAAATGAATCTTAATTTTTATTTTTGTATTCTTACTTACAAGTATGTAAAAATACAGTTTAGTTTTACTATTTATTTCACATCCTGCAGTGAATTCATATGTTATATATTTCTAATGGTTGTATGGAATCTTTAGGACTTTTTACATACAAGTTCATGTTTACTTCTCCTTTCCCAATCTGGATACCTTTTACTTCATTTCTTGCCTGGTACTCCAAGACAGAATATCCAGTAAAATGCTGATCAGAAGTAGTAAGAAAGACATCCTCATCATGTTCCTAATCTTAGAGGAAAAGCATTCATAATTTCATCAATAAGTATAATGTTAACTATGAGGGTTTTATAAATATGTTTTTTTCAGGTCAAGAAAATTCCTTTGGTTTCAGGTTTTTTAATATGAAAAATATTTTTGGCACTTTGCCAAAAGCTTCTCCTCACTATTGAAATGACTGTATAGGTTTTGTCTTTTATTCTACTGACAAAGCATATTACAAGAACTGGGTTTGGGATTTGTAAACCAAATTTATATTCCTAAATTCTTTTTTTATATCACTGAATTCCATTTGCATGTATTTTGATGAAGATTTTTGTGCTTTATTCTTAAGAAATGTTGGTCTGTAGTTTCTTTACTTGTGTTGTCTTTGGTTTTTGAGTGATATTTAAGGCAAAGTAATCCTCTTTTATAGTGGCAGGTCTTATGATTTTAGGATGATTAACAGCATCACTGGACTATATCCATTAGATGTCATTAAAGTAGCTTATATATTAAATCTACTTTCACTAATGAAAGTATTCACCATATATTATTCTGTGATCATAAGAAGTTTTCTAATAAAAGAGTTTGACAGTTCATCTTGGATGGATTTTCTTATTCTTTCCGAAAAATTTCCAGAGTCTCCTTGAAGTTCTGACTAAACCAATCTTAATAAAAGTCATCCAAAATGACAAAAAAAAAAAATCATTTCCAACAAGAAATAAGCCAATTCCTTTGAATTTCATAAGTTTAGGAATCAGATTAGTACTGTCACAATAACTACATCAGCCTTCTATTACTATGAAAAAAACATAAGATAATAAACTTATAAAGAAGAAAGGTTTATTTTGGCTCACAGTTTAAGGGGTTTCAGTCTATGGTCACTTGGATTCATTGCCTTTGGGTGAGAACATCATGGCAAGGAATACATGGCAGAGGAAGCTGCTCACTGCACAGGGTCCCAGAAGCATAGAGACAAAGAGGGAGAGGCCAAGGGTATGTCCAGTATTCCCTTCAAGGGCACACCCTGATGAACTTCCTCCCACATCTAAAAGGTCCTACCATCTCTCGACAGCACCATGGGCAAGGGACCAAGCCTTTAACACATGAACCTTTGGGGGACACATTCAACATCCAAACTGTAGCAATAACTAATATTCCTCTTATATTATTTAATTCTATTATACTATTTTGCTCTGGAACAAACCTACCTAAAATCTCAAAACAATTTTAAACCTCAAAATTTGTCTTTTTAAATAAACCCTCTCTTTACCTATTCTCAGGAACAATTCCTGACATGGTGCATTTTCTCAAACTACCTTAAATTCCACTGTAAAGGCACAAGATCTTTAAATAAATGCATATTAAGATTTTCATGATATATGCTGCAATTTTCATAAAAGCATTTACCAAAAAAAGAAACTCAAGTTAAATTTATTTTTCCCCTAATAACACTGCTATTGAACCAAAAGTTGAAAAGTTCAGCAGCATAATATGTGATTATACAACTGAATTTCACACACAAGGAGAATATTTACTTTCCCAAAGTAATCACTGTAAGAATTTCTTCTTTTTCCAAAATATAAGTATTGCTGAATTACATTTTTGGAATTATCTTCTGAGTAAAATTACATGTCACCTATAAAACGTAATCACTTTTAAACAAAACAACAGTACCAGTTTGGTTACCATCATTTTAATCTTGAATTCTAATTCCAATGACATTTTGCAATTTCCAATCAAGTCTACCCTCCAGGATAAGGAATTCCTTCCTTTTTTCATTAATTCTACACTTACTGATTACCTACGAAGTTCTGGAAATATACACAAAGTGGGGATCTTTTACTCTGGAGCATTTCATGTCTTTTTTGACTCTGGCTTATGGAATTATCCAGCAGGTAGACATATAGCCACCAGCAGAGCCAGTTTCCTGATCATCCTACAACAAACACCACCACCAAACATGTGTGGAGAGAACTTCAGTTTCACCCAATTAAATCAAGAGATTTGCCTTCAGGTCATTTAAAAATAAGCTTTATAAATTTCAGTACACACAGACATATTAGATTTTATTAATATTTAGTGATATCTTTACGATGATACAATCTTTCAGCCCCAAATTCAACTACTTCTAAACACATCAGAGCTTAACTTAAAAATAACAAAGTTGGTTTCTTTATTCCTGTGGTAATACTTTTTTGTTTGATGATGTAGGGACAGAAACACAAATCGTAACAGGCAAGCTAGGTCACTAATTTGACTTGACTTACTTAGAGGCTTTCTATCAAGAACAAATCAAATGGTAGGTGGCTTATCACCTATTCTTTAAGGATCCAACACAATCAGCCATACAGATGGATTTTTTTTTAATGTTTTTAGAGCTCAAAGTTGAATTTAATGACATAAAATATAAGGCTGCTACTATTTTTAATAAAATATTTTAGTCACATTAAAATGTATATAGGCTAATAGAACACTTAGGTTAAAAACAAATTCATAAGAACTCCACTATGCATTTCTCCTGCCAACCATTGTCATTTTCCTTCCTTCTCACTGTAGGAAACCACTCTTCTCAATTTGTTGTTCATGTCCATACATGTCTTTATACCTTCCCTAAATATGTCTGTGTTCTGTTTTAGATGTTTCTAATTTCATATAATGTATGGGCTGTGTGCTTCAGCAACTTGATTTTGGCTCAGTATACTGCTAATGAAAATTTTAATATTGACCATGTGGTTCAATCATTTTCATTGCTGTGTAAAATTACATTTCGTAAATGTGACACAATAAATCAAATTTCCTATTGGTGGCCATTTTTGTTTGTAAATAGGACAAAACTTTTCCAGATAAGTGATAATCCGATATTAAACACCACCCAGGAAAACACACAGCAAAGACATCATGATATTCCAAGGGTACCTGCCTTTTTTTCCACTCTCCCCATCAACCTCTGATTAAGCTAGTATTTGTCCAAAACGTCAATTGTCAGCTTTGGAATTTCTGAAACTTACAAAGCTAACTGCTCTTGTAAAACACTGTCTGTGTTAGTAGTTGACCCTTTTATCTTCAACTTTATGGTCTATAAAATAAGAACTGAAACCAAGAATTAGAAGAGTGGTGATTTTTATGAGTGCTTTTTAATATTTTCTTAATATAGTTAGCATGAACTATATTAACACAGTTTTATAGGTAAAAATATATCAAATAGCTATCATGAATATAACGACAGAATTCTATCAATATTTTTGCATGTGTATAGGGGGAAAGGTGCTAGGCATTGAACCCTTGTGCATGCTAGGCCCTAACTCTGAGCTACATCTCCAGCTCTTTTTATTTTGAGAAAGGATCTCACTAAATTGCCCAGGCTGATCTTGAACTTATGATCCTCCTGCCTCAACCTCCTAAGTAGCTAGGATTATAGGAGTGCTCCACCACACCCAGCCTAACAGTATTTTTATTAATATTTGTTATTATTCTTCAACAACAATACCAAACAGTTCATCCTTGTACTCTAGTAGGATATTCTGTCAGTAGCAGGTAAAATTCTTGAGTATATTTACCAAATTCTATTTATAAAATGTCTTTAATATGATCTCTACTTTCTTTCTTTCTTTTATTTGACTTTTGAGAAAGTACTTACTCAGGTGTAGAGAGCATTTTTTCCAAGTTAAATTCTTTGAGATATCTTATGATGGCAGCCAAAGAGCAAATCACAGGCTTATCCAAGTTAATGATGCCAGAAAAACTTTGAGAATCTAAACAACACAATATATAACCTCATTAACATTGTTACTACTATTAAAAATAAATTTTAAGTTATATAAAATTTGTTTTATATAAATTGAAATCATCATTTAGACAGTATCTTTTCAACTTGCCCTCTGAAAAAATGTGATTACAAAAACTATGGCATGGAAACAAGGGCATTTTTCTTCTTTTTTCCTTCCTTCTTCCTTCTTTCTCGCTTTCTTTCTTTTTTGTAGCTGCAGATGGACAGAATGCCTTTATTTGTTTATTTTTATTTGGTGCTAAGGATCAAACCCAATGCCTCACACATGCTAGGCAAGCTCTCTGCCACTGAGCTGCAGCCCCAGCCCAACAAGGGCATTTTCTAATGGTGGAATGAATCTTTTGTTGGAGAACAGATCATTTTTTCAAAATGTAAAATGTTCAACTCTCTGGATCAGAAATATCCCATGATGTGTATACAAGGAGTCGGGGAGGGGGAGGGGACTAGAGACCAGCTAAATAAACATCCATAGGGGTAAGAGTTGAATAAATTTTGGTAAATCCAAATTACTATGTACCTACTAAAAGGAATGACTTACAGCTATTTGAACAGATACAGAAGGCTATCCAAAACATATTGCTAAGGGTAGGTTGTATGATCATCCTAATCTCTCACTACAAATATTACACAAGCTTCTTTTCTAGTCTCCTTGCCTTATCTTGTACCCTGCAAGTAGTCAATATGGCCGCTGAAGGAATCTTTTTTTAAATGTGCTTCAGATCATTAGACTACCTCTCAAAATCCTCCAACATCCCCCTACTCACTGACAGTAGAAGTCCAGTGACCTCCAAAGCCCTCTGGGACCTACTCTCTGACTCCTTCCTACTGCTCAGCTCACTTCCTAATACTCTCCCCCTCAGATACTGTTTCAGTGTACAGACTCTTTGCTATTCCTTAAACATGTCAGGTGCCCTCCCACATTAAGACATTTTGTACTTACTGTTGCTTCTGCCTGAAATACTGTTCCTTCACATAGCTTTTCCCTTAACTTCTTCTTTGTTCATCTTTTTCAAGTACCATCTTCTCAGAGAGGCCCTCCTTTACCAGTCAATTTAAAATTCCAACACCCTTCCATGCCTCGTTTTCTTTTTAGAATGTGTCACCTTCTGACACACTAACTTAAACTATGAATGTGTATGTATATACAGGTAGATTTACTCATACAACAATTCTTAAGCCAAATTGTTAAGGATTACCCTTCAGTCACATAAGTGGCAAGGGCAGGGGACAAGATTGAGGGCATAAACTTCTACTTTTTTCTTTTTCTATTTCTTTTCATGGAGATGGAACCCAAGGCCTTATACATGCTATGCAAGTGTTCTGCCATTGAGTTCCATCTCCAGCTCTACGTTTTCCTTTACAAACAACTGTTTGACTTTTGGCAATAAGCATTTTTTAAATGTTTATTAAGGAAATTTTAAAAGAATTTACCTTTTTAAATTTAAACTTTAAACTTAATTTTTTAAATTTTTAAAGAAAAATTAAAAAATTATTCCAAATATTTTCTACAAAATTTTGTATTACTATATATAATATCTTATTATTTTTAATGATAGCTGTTTACAAAACCAAGGTATAAACAGAGAGCTGGGGCTGGGGATGTGGCTCAAGCGGTAGCGCGCTCGCCTGGCATGCGTGCGACCCGGGTTTGATCCTCAGCACCACATACCAACAAAGATGTTGTGTCCGCCGAGAATTAAAAAAAATAAATATTAAAAAATTTTCTCTCTCTCTCTCTCTCTCCTCTCTCCCTCTCTCTTTAAAAAAAAAAAAAAAAAAACAGAGAGCTAACAACACTCTTTTGCCTTCTACTGAAAGCTGATTTTCTTGTAACTTTCTAGCTTTGCTCCCCTAGAAACTTGATAAGAAGGAGTGCCAATGCACTATGAGGTAGCATTAACTTGAAATTATTGAGTTACATCTAGCCTGGGAAGAATTATAAATACTCAACTCCAGAGTACTGATCTTTCCTGATTACAATGATTTTTATAACCTATGTCCTTTGCAGAGACTCCAGCAAGAGAAGGAGACACCTGGATAGTATGGCGCTTTAAGCCAGGATGGCTCTTGTGCCCACCAGATATGAGTCTCCTTGTGAAGAAAGAGAACTTAAGCTCCCAATGGCACGATGGACTACTGCAAAGACTACTGTGAGTAGGAATCCCACCAAGAGGAATACATATTCCATAAGCAGGCTGTTTTCTTGCCCATGTCCTTCAAGTGAATCTGATGCCTAGAGTGGATTATGGTATCCTTGATGATACTGCATCCTGATGTTGGAAGAGGGATACAACCTGAGACACCTGATTCAATTTAGCCAAAACATGAGATTATAAGGGATACACTAACAGACATTAATGGTCCAAGTGGAAGGAAATGCTAACACAACACTGCAGCTTAAGTGGGGGTTAGGAGTAAGAGCTGATGATGAAAGCTCCGCAACTTGGGACAAGAGTAAGTCTTGTCAGTACGGGGTCCAGTGAGGACTGGAGAAAGGCCAAATCTATGTCAAGGAAGAATGTCTATTCACCTTGCCATCCATAAAATGGCCCCTAACATAACTGAAATGGCAGGACTGAAGGTTACAGACAAAATTAAGCACTAATGACAGAGGAGATGTGAATTAGACAAGTAATGGTTACCTAACATATTTAGACCCTGTCACTAGTGTATTTTAATTCTAGCAACCAATCTTTGAAAACACTAGCCTACATGAGAATATTTATCTAAACATTTTGTAAAATTGTAGGATAATAATAGGCCATCTTTAAAGATGAGTGAAAAGAAAAGTTGGTCACCAACTCCCATTACTCCAATTAATATGCAAGTAATTAAATGGTTACAACTGAGGAGGGAAATGCTACAGTGGTGTTCTTCATGAGCTCAAGTAAAGGAGCTCTTCCCTCAGCCTCTCCCTCTATTTCTGGTCATTACCTAGCTGTCATTAAATTGAAGGTCATACTCACATCTTTATCCAAATCTCAAATCAGTACAATTTGAGGACACATTGCTAAAATGTATAAAATATTTACCTTTGATGTCATCTACAACTTTTGAATAAAATTCCGTAACCGCCTGGAAAGCATGGCTGTATTCAAAATAAACTTTATCCATTCTTTCTACTCGAATTCTGTCATCCCGCATGCTGAAAGGGAAAAATGAAAATTTCAAAGAAGTATCCATTAGCAAGGGTATCTCTGGTTTACATTTTGCTAATCTCTATCTGTATTAAGACCTTGGCTTGGCCACCCCTGAAAAATGAAATAGATTCATTCCTTATTCGCCTCCACATTGAAGACAGAAAGGGAGAAAGAATAAGATCTAAAGTTTCCCTGTGAAAGTCCCCATTTCATAAAAATGACTTAATTATTACTTTTTATCTACTCTTATTTTTTTATCACCTAATACACTATGTGAGATATAATGACTTTATATCTGTTATTATCAAAAAGAAGAACTAGCTGAAATTAGGATGAGTTGTGTCAATAAGTATGAAGGGAAAAAACTGAAAAGCACTTTAATTTGATTACATTATTTGTTTAGAGTCTCTAGAAACAGAACATAGCACTGACTAATGCAGTCTTTGAAGGGTATCTCTGGTTTACATTTTGCTAAGTCCATTTTTACCATAGCTCCAGTCAAATATAATAAATTCCCATCAAGTTAACTCTCAATCTTTTAATAACTTGGTTCTATGTTTTTAAAAACATAAACAAAAATTTAAACACGAGCATTTAAAAAAAAAAATCACACTATCCATGCTGCGCTGTGCTTTTTCAGTTTCTATTTTTCTTGATTCCAAATTCCCTCCTCTTTCTCTTCTCCTTTTTTCTCACCTCACTCCCTCAGCTGTTATCAGATGTTTACACAGTCTGTTTACACAGACTACAATGAAGTCTTCCATATTTTTTCCTGTTCATATGAACAGATACAGAAATAGATCATACACTTTCATATCATACATGTCATATATCTTCTAAGAACGAGATGCCTTTATACACCTTTTCTGAAACTTCTTTTCTTTGCTAAGCAATAAGTCACCTATAAGGTGACTTATCTACAACTCATTCTTTTGAATGGTCAGAAAATATTTCATAGTACATAAATGCCATTATTTATTCAACCATTTTTTTTGTTTGATAGTCATTTGGTGTTAAGTTTGTCATGTTACTTGAAAACATTTTTATTTAAAAATAATAAAATATTCAATACAGCTGCAGCCTTCACATCTCTCTCTCTAACCATATTCATCTATCATTTTCACAAGCAACGCTATCTTGAATTTGATGTATATTATTACCATGTACACTTTTACACTTTACAATATATTATATTATTTCATGTCTTCAATTTTATGAGTGGTACTTTATTATAACTATGCAACTTGATTTTGCACTCAATGTTTCATTTCTATAATTTATACATAAAGACTGGCATATATTTTTAAAATATTTTATTTTAAATACTCCTAAGTTGGGGAGCTAAAGCAGTAGGATCACCTGAGACTAGTCTAGACAACACAACAAGACCCAACTCTAAAATAACAACAATAAATAACTCTAAGTATTCCAATATTTCTTACATTTTCTAGTAAAACAATATTTGATTTTTAAATTTAATTTACTTGAATTTATTTTTGCAGATGTTGTGCAGTTAGAAATACAATTTGATTTTCCATATGATTACTTTATGATCAAAGCACCACTAATACAACATTACATCTTTCCCTACTGATTTATGATGCTACCTCTACAGTATCTCATATTACTCTCTAGGGTGGCTTGTTTCTGGCTTCTAGATCCTGTTCTGCTAATCTTTTTATCCATCTCTATAACAGTACCACAGTGTCTCCATATCCATGGCTTGGTATCAGTATCTGAGATATGTGCTACAACTTTCTCCATGAAGGTTTTACACATCTCTGACATTTATTATATTCAATAAATATAATACTTTTATTCTGCTCACTCCTAATATATACACATTTCTCTGTTGTCTTTGCTTGAAACAAACCCTCATTGTTTTGGGCCCAATATCAGATAAGTCACACTGAAGCACAGTGATGCTTAATGACCTGGATTGATAAAATTAAGAGTAAATAACATAATAGAAACTAGATGACAGGAAAGAATTATCTATAATTGCCTTACAAGCCTTTCTTTTGTATAGTAATATCGGTATCTCTAAAAATATGAAAATATTTATAAAAATAAAATTAGATTACTAGATGTTAGAAAACATCAACATTAAGATGCTCTTTTAAGTTACCTAATTTTCTTCTTTGGCTCCTTACACAAAATTTAAGGAAGTCTTGAAATAATCCCTAGCACCATGCTAAACTAAGTTTTATTTTTTCTATTTTTTTTACAATTTTTCTTCTGAACAAGGATATTCTATGATTTGGTTTAAAATTTCAACTACAATGTCTTGTACTAAATAAACAATAGTATAATACTTTTTTATGCTTAACAACTAGGTTAATATTCTATACCTTTATTTTGTTTATTGATTGATTGATGTGGTGCTGAGATTCGAACCCAGTGCCTCACATGTGCTAGGCAAGCACTCTGCCACTGAGGTACAACCCCAGCCCAAAGTTAATACTCTAAAAGGAAGATTTATGACTATAAAACCAAAAGCTTTTTTATATTTGTTTCTACTTGTCAAAAACAAATTAAAAAAAACACATAAATTTTGATGTGGACATATAGTACCCAAGAGTCGGGTTTCCATACTTGGTATATATATAATAAAATAATAAACAATAATGTGGTAGACATGTATAAAAATTCAAAAAGATATAAATGGATATGCCACATAACAAAACAACACATTCCCTCCTTCCTCAATACTATAAGTAGAAATGGATGCATCATTTTATAAATTCAAGAAATATTTATAATATTTTTGCTACTTTATATAATAAAAATGTTATTACTCAATTTTGTCTTCTTACATTCAAAACAACATATTTTAGTCTCCCTCCATCCTACCATGCAAACAGAGAATTGAATAGTCAAACATAAGTCCATAGATAATATATACAATATAACTGCATTTAAAGATATCCCTAAGAACTCAAAATGCAAGCAGGTGAGGATGAACAAGACAACAAGACACACTGCTATCCATAGCCCTATGGGAGAAGCAACAGGGAATCTAACAGTAAGAAAACAGGGCCTCCACAAAATAGCAACTGGGTGCTCATGAGAAAGTACAGCAAGACATTCTGAGACCTGAAGCTAAGGGTGGAAGCTGTGTACTGACTGATAATAAGGAATCCACATGAAGGTGTGGAGAGACTACTAGGCCATATGAACTCACAAAACTGCACAAAGCACACTTTGAAGAGAGTCTCATGTGAATAGAACCCAAAGTGAGGGGTTCAGGGCAACAGGGTGAAGGTGGAAGATGTGAGCTGCTACATTTTCAAATATGGCAAATGAACAAATTCCAAAAACATTACACTAAGGAAAGAAATCAAACCAAAACGACTATATGCTGTAAGATTCAATATATCTGAAATTCTAGAAAAGGCAAAATGGACAAAAATTAATAATTGCCTGGGGCCAGTTGCAAAGGAAGGGGACCAACTGCAAAATGGCTTGAAAAAGTTTATTGGGGTAAAAGCATTGCTCCATACTTTCACTGTGATGGTGACGATAATTAGTAGAGTTATTACAATTCAAACTCTATACTTACAATGTAAACTATATGGTTTATAAATAGCACCTCGCACCTGAAGTTTAAAAAAAAAAACACTTCTATAGCAAGGAAGTTAGAAAAAGCTATTTGAGCCATGCTTTTCTTCTGACAGTTCAAGAAAACTACTGTCACATAAAGTAAGTAACAGAAAAGGATCAAGGTCAAAAAGGAGAATAAGCAGAATAATATATCCACAAACAAAAGAAGTATGTCAGATGCAGATGTCCATAGCCATAACAAAAAATCATTACAAAAACAAGTTGGATTAAAAAATAACAACTTAGAAATAAACTGATAAAGAAAAATTAGACACAAAAGAAAAAAATCATCTCAGAAATGAAGGACTGACTGGAAGGAAAACAAAACTGAATAAATGCTACAAATAATAAAACAGAAAATGAAGACGGAAAAATTGTCAAAAAGGAATAAAAATGAAAACTAAAAAGATTGAAAGTAAAAACTACAGAAAAGAGCCAAAAGATCTAAAACTGTATAAAAAGTGCTTCTAAGACTCAAAGTTGAAGAGAAGGGCAAAGCAAAGAAGTAGAAAAAAGCATTTGAAAGCATACGGTAGAAAATTTGGGGAAATCAACCCAGAATGACCACCATAAAAAAATAAACTGGAAAATTATATCCACCCAAAAGGAGAAATCATTTATAAAATAAAGAAAAACGGCCAGACTTTTCTAGCAATGTTCTATGCTAGAAAATAACAGTAACATACTAAGACAAAGAAACAAACTAGAATTTTCTATCTGGCCTTCCTACTTTTCATGCAAAAAGGCAAAAGCAATGGTAAAGTGCAGTCAACAGATCAGTAGCTTCATTGCTACCTGGATCTTGTCAAAAATGTGAATTTACAGGCCCTATCCCCCCACACTATATCAGAGAATCTCAGGGAGTGGAGAGACACAGCACTCAGTACTTTAATGAGCTATTATGATTTGGATATAAGGTATCCTGCCAAAAGCTCGTGTAGCAATGTAGGAGAGTTCAGAGGTAAAATGATCAGATTATGAGAGCTGTAACCTAATCAGTGGATTAGTCCACTGATGGATTAATAATCTGAATGGACTGATTATGTGGTAAACTGTAGGCAGGTGGGGTATGGCTAGAGGAAGTAGGTCACTATGGGAGTGACCTTGGGCATTATATTTTGCCCCTAACTCCCTTCTCTCTCCTTCTCTCTTCCACCCCGGCCCTCCTTCCCTCTCCTCACTCTAACTTCCCAGCTGCCAAGCTGCCATAAACTAACAGCTTTCCTCTGCCATGTCCTTCTGACATTAAACTCTCCCTTACCTCAGGCCAAGAGTAATAGGATCAGCCTCACCTTTGAAACTGTGAGCCCAAAATAAACTTTTCCTCCTCTAGGTTGTTCTTGTCAGGTATTTTGGTCATAGCTATAGAAGGCTGACTGACACACAAATCTTCCAGGTAATT